AAGATTCATAAATTCTAAGATATTCACAACGATTTGTATATGTATATATATGTTATGTATTCGAGGTATAAGGGTACTAATAAAATCATTATAAAAAACTATGTTAGTGAGGATTTAAAACAGTTTTGAATCTTAAAGGTGGAAGTTAATTTATCGGAAAAGCCAGTAAAGCCATGTACTTCAAACTAAACCTCGGATGCGTTATGGAAAAACCTGCGGCTTCATTTCTTAGGCTGCAACTCCTTCAAATGTTCTCCATGCACACTCTCACTTACACACCCCTGTCTCTACACCACCTCTTCCATGCTCCAGTATGGAAACGATTGGGTGAGAAATTCACAATGTAGCCCATAATGTATTGAAGCGTCATTATCTTGGCGGGAAATTAATGTTTTGCGATTTTCCACTGCGAAAAAGGTGTTGACAGATACAAATCCCAATATATCAATTTAATCGATTGTAAGTAGTAATAATATACACATAAAGTGTAGAAATTGTATACGGGCCCAAGCTTCTTTGTCTGGATTTTCTCTTGGGGCCTGTTGACATGACCAATATCAACATAAGGATTTGGAACTGGCGGGTAGCAGCATACTTTGAATGTAAATGGGTTTTTCTTATAGAAACACGAAACTTTTAATCATCCCTATTTTCAGTTTAAAGGGTTATTTTGGAAGATATTCGCTCTTTCAGGAGAATTTTTTAATCCTAATTTTAATCAGTAGCTTGGCGTGAATGGATGCGAGTGATTCGTCGTATCCCTTAGTTATTCGGTTGCTTTTAAGATTTCCAATCTTTACGCTTTGTTTCTCATTTTCTTTGTTCAAAAATATATTGTCCTTTCTTCGGGCGCTTTTGACCACTGCATTGGTTACAGTGCCTCATTTTGAAACACTACGATTTTGAAACACTTCGTATGGTTTTGCATAAGATAGTCACATCCGTTCCCTATGTTCTATTCTGCTGCAAGGCCAATGACTTTCGGGAAGGCTGCCTACTGTGGATATAGTCTTACAAATCACGTGACTGATGGGATTCCTCAAACACATCTGATATACAAGCTTCAGACCCAATAATTTCATTCATTGACCTGCAGGCGCGGTAGTATATAGACTTCGCGAAAACAATGCAAATTTTCTTTACCTCGGGAAGTTGCTTATAGAGCAGTTAAACATCTTAACACATAACTACAGACATGAAATTCGGGAACGCGAAACCATGGAGTGAAAATGACTTCTCTCAATTTTAATTTTATGATCTTACTGTTCCAAATTTCATTTGTAATTTCGTAATATCGATTATTTGTACACTAACAGCATTTCATAAAAAAATGATTATTCAAAAAAGAGCGGAAACTTTAAACATAAATTCAATACAGTTTTTTCTCATCACTCACTATATATTTAGTAGTGATAGTAGTGATTAATGCGAGAAGGAAATATACAAGATCGAAAGGATGCCCTTCACAAAAAAGAGAATACAACCAGTGCAAGGACAAGTTGAAAGAAGTCATAAAGGACAGCAAAAGGCGACGCTGGTTCTCCCTAATAGAAGAGGTCGAGTCCGACCCATGGGGAAAACCTTTCCAGCTGGTGACAAAGAAACTAGGCCTCAAGAGGCAGACGCCAGAACTGGACGACCCCTCCCGGATAATACAAATACTACCATCGCTATTCCCCACTGAGCGGCAAACGCCGGAACACACGACTGAAGAGGCGGATACCCAAGGAAATTACCCGAAATTTACCGTAGAGGAACTTCAGAAAGTAGGGGGCTCCCTTAAGAACAATAAAGCCCCTGGCAGAGACGGTATCCAGAACGAAGCCATGAAAACAATAATCAAGTTTTACCGAGAGCATCTGTTGCGTATAAACAATTGCCTGGAAAACAAAGTCTTTTTTATCACTGGAAGATCCAAAAATTAATCCTTATTAGAAAAGGGAACAGGCCCCTTAATGAACCCTCGGCATATAGACCCACATATCTAATTGATACAATGGGGAAAATTCTAGAAGGATTAATTATGGAAAGAATCCAAACCCATCTGGATTTAAAAAAAACAGACTACTTTCAGACAGACAGTTTGACTTCCGAAAACGCAGATCCACAGTAGACCCATGAAACTGGTTGTGGAAATTGCAGAAAAGGTTAAAGAAGAAAAAGGCTTCTGCGAATCAGTCAGCATTGACATTAAAAATGCATTTAATACAGCAAAGTATCACGACATAATCTCCGCCCTAAAGGATAAAAAGACCCCTGGGTACATCCTTGACATAGTTCGAAGCTACCTCAGCGGTCGAACAGTAGAATACAAAAGTAAGGAAAAAACACACACACAATGACCTGCGGTGCACCCCAAGGCTCCAGAATTGGACCACTAATGTGGAATGTACTTTATGACAGCCTGTTAGAAATTCCTCTGACCACGCACGTCATACTGGTCGGTTTTGCATATGATGCTATCATCGTAGCATCGGCATACTCCACCAGAGTCCTCGAAATTAAAGTAAATGACACCTTAGAACGCGTCCAAGTATGGTTGGCGGAGAAAGGACTGGAAATGGCTGTCTGTAAGACAGAAGCAGTCATAGTTACAGACAGAAGATCGTTTATTCCCCCAAAGTTCAAAATTGCAAGAACACATACACTGCCAGAAATCCCTCCATTACCTGGGAATGAATATAGACAACAAGCTCAGCTTTGGTCCACAGGTAATCGCGGCAGCCGAAAGAGACCAGGGAACGGCATCTGCACTTTCGAGGCTCATGTCAAATGTAAGAGGACCGAGCGAAGGTAAAAGAAGAATGCTCATGAGTGTCATGCACTTAAAACTGCTGTACGCGACACCTGTTTGGGCTGAAAAGTAGCCAATAGCAAAAATCTTCTGACGAAACTGGAAGCAGTTCGAAGGAAGGGTGCTCTAAGAATCACTTCGGCCTACAGAACTATCTCGAAAAGCGCGGTGTTGGTGCTAGCTAGTGTCCCGCCCATTAGTCTCTTAGCACTGGAACGTAAGGAGGTGTACGATTTAATAAAGGGAGACAATGCAGACGTAGTCAAACGCGCAGCCATTAAGAAAGAAGCTCGAAAAAAACTAATGGACCGATGGCAAAATTCCTGGCAGAAAGAAGTAACAGGCAGATGGACGTACAAATTGATACCAAACCTTTCGAAATGGGTTTTATGAAAACACGGCTCTGTTTCCTACCATCTAACTCAAGCTCTCACAGGTCATGGATCTTTCAAATCTTAAAAAGATTTGCAAAAGCAGACAGCGCTGACTGTGACTACTGTGGGTACAATAACGACGACGCAGAACACACACTTTTCAACTGCCCAACATGGGCTAATGAAAGGATCGACATCACCACAAAGCTCGACAGCCCAATAACCTCGGACAACATTATAACATTAATGACAAAGACACCGACAAATTGGGAACTAATCGAAAGGTATATTAAGAAAATTATGACTATAAAAGAAGAAGATAAAAGAGATAACAGACGCAATAGTGCAAATTAATAACACTGGGTAGACAGCTTGACCCCACCCTGAAATAATGCGAAAGCGGTTCCGGGGTGCAACAGTCAAGGACCATAAAGGGTTTGTGGTTTTAGTGGGTAAAAATCTCACACTACCGAGAGCGGTCCCTCCGAGGTTTCTTCCGAAGATTTCCACAGTTCCTCTCGTAAAAACAAAAAACAAAAAAAAAACAAACAAACAAAAAAAACAAACTACTACTACTGCTACTACTACTACTACTACTACTACTACTACTACTACTACTACTACTACTGCTAGTGCTGCTACTACTACTACTACTACTACTACTACTACTACTACTACTACTACTAATAATAATAATAATAATAATAATAATAATAATAATAATAATAAAACGTATTAAACCAAATGGATTTATATTAAACAAATAACAGAAGAGCACTTAGGACACTGTTTTTTACAAGAGGCGTAAGTCAGATTGTTTTTTTCCTGATGTTTCTGGAACAATTGCATAGTATTTGTGCAATGTTAAACTTTCTTCTTCATTGCTGTCATTAAATTATATTTCTTCTTCGCCCAACATATTGTTAATGCTTTTAGCCCTTCTTGTCGTAGCTGAATATTCAGTAAGCGTCTTTCCATTTATTCCCCTATAAGAGTTTTGGTAATACGATTCATTGATGGGGCTAAAGTTATACAGCTGAATATCTCTACGAATTTTGATTGGGAAGCAATGAGCGAACTACTGTGAGACACCATAGGGTCTAGTGTCATAACAGTAGTTTTTGTCATTTTTTAAATCTTGCTGGACCCAAATACTGTAACATTTTGGGTTTCTGTTGTATGAACATTAATAATAGAATATATTTCTTATTATTTTCTATTTTTGTTAATTTTGAATACCAATAAGTACGTATACTATGGCGTCTGAGCACCAGGTCTCTGTAAGTACTGAAGGTAACCAGTGTTTTATTGAGCTACTTTTGATCACATCCCCTACCCAATCTTTCAGGAGACACCACTGTCCCCTATTATATTGTAGCGTCACTAACTTGCTGTGTCGTCAGTTTCAACAAGTATTTTATCGAAACAACCGGAGTGAAAGCTACTAAACTATGTATTTGAGAATAATTATAATTTTATAATTATAATTAATTTATAATTATAATTTTATAATTATTCTGAAGATAATTTTGTATATCAATTGTAAAACAAAAGGATGATCACAGTTCGTTTTTTAAAAAAATCTATTAATATAGACGTCTCAATCTCTATGAGTGAGATGCTCTTAAGTATGTTATTTTCTGAAAATACATAGTTGTGTTACAAAAAAAATTAATAATTATATTAGTCAAAATTGTATATTTATCTCATAATGCAATGAAAATGATTAACTATAATTATGTGGCAAAAAGGAATGCCTGTATATATTTAAGGTCTCCCAATACTCTTGTGTATTATAAAAAAATCTACAAACAAGTGATAATCCGGTCAACATGTCAAGGGAAACATCAACCTGTCAAAGTCCCACTATCACCTTACCTTTCGTGCCTACAATTAATAATTATCTTCGTAAAGAAGCTTATGGTAAATAATTTGACATCAAAATCAGGAGTAAGTTGACTCTGAAACAAAATCTGATTAAAAATATCAAAGACGAAATCCCTTTAACCGACAAACAAAGAGTTGTCCATTGACTAAAGTGTCGGAAGTGGAACAAATTGCATCACAAAGATAAATTGAGATTTATTACGTAGGAGCATCTTTCGAGACAAGAAGACGCTAAGACCTAATATTCCTTAATGTTAGGAAGTAAGAGATTCATTTAAACATGATGAGTATAACCCAAAGAATATAACTGGATGGACCATGGTTTGGCTTCCTGAGAACGTATTCAGAAGGAGGAATTCTTTATTCCTCGGATGTAAAATATGTTAATCGCAAAAAAAAACAACCAAGAAATAGGAAATTCATAGACCGCGGTGTAAGAAATTGTTTGACACCGAGGTGTAGGCTTAAACAATTAGCGATCTCAAATCATTTACATCTGAATTGCCCGCCAGTAGTTGGTCCAAACATTGACTCCAATAAATGATTCATACTAGTCCTTTTTTTCCTGCCTTTTAAAATAATAAATATATTTGTTGGTTTGTTTTATATAGTTTTCAGAGCAAACTGACATGGAAAGTCGCTAAATATAACCATTACCAGAAAACTCCGTCACTGAATGTTTTACGTAAATAACAAAATTATTGAGTCGGGTCTTCGACTCGTTCTCGAGAAGTGTCTTCAAAGATCAGCAGGTCGGGATTCAGGATGTGAGGACGCGAATCAGTGGCAGTAAGTAAACAGTGTTTTCAGCCAGAGCCAGTCAGAGCGTACTCTCTGGTTCAGTCAGAGTAGTGTTATGTTTCATGATTGCCGGCACGGGATATAGTTATGGCTTTGTACGACAACAAACATTGGCTTTTATCCCACATAAAGAATTCGTTTATATCTTCCGATGACACAGGTGAGATTGTTGGAACTTTAAAGTGCGGGTTTTCTGTATTGTTTTATGAGAAGAGAAAAGTTGAGTCAATTTTTAAAAAAATGTATGGAATTCTTTAGGAATATGTGAAATGGTGATGCTTGGTGAAGATATTCCCCGGTCTCTGTCTCATGCCACCAAAGTTTGTTGTTATCCTGGAGCAGACCAGAGTGAAGGAGAAGATGAAATGGATGTTCTGTCACACTCCTTGGACATGCTGGCTGGTAACATTTGTTATTTATATTGCATTGTATTTGTCCAGTTGCCTGGTCGCTTGATATTTGTTTACTAGCGTGATCAATTTGTAAAGTCTATTACTAAGAGTCACAGGAGATTTGTGGTATCTTAGGTGCTTATTTTATGAAGAATGTTCATAATAAATCTATAAAATTGTGGAACAAAACAACTGTTCACCAACAATTATTATTATTATTATTATTATTATCATCATCATTATTATTATGCAGTGTTTTAATGGAAGCCATGCACATTTGTGTGCTTGTATAACATCAAAGAATAATAAGTGATTTGACTTTAGAATTTTATTCATTTAATAATAACATAACTATTTTGTGATTAAAAAGTAATCTGATGACTTGGCTAGTTTTCATAGAATTTACAAATACATTCTTAGAATACATGAAACATATGTGGTGCATAACAAAGAATTAAATTTCAAACTCTTTATGGCATCCTTACATTTACAAATTTTCAACATTTTTGTAGCATTTATAGCATTTTCACAAAATTTAAAGATTATCATCACCGTGATTAACAATTTTTGGGCATTTGCACATAAAACATGCAGTTGTTATTGAAATTTGGTCAAATGCCAGCTTATCATTTTGGTGCCGAAGTTTCTGGTTATTTAAAAAAATTGTGAATTATTAAACCAGTATTTTCAGGACCTTTTCATTGCTACATTTTCTTAACATTGTGTGCCATTAGAGACAAGTTCTTGTTTTTTCAGTATCTGATGATCAAAATTCGAAATAATATTATGTATAAAACAGCAAAACAAATTATGAATACAGCATAATAAATATGTAATGAAAATAATAAGAATATTTCACAAATATCTTAAAAGAAGTACAATATGCAACATCAAAATTGGTGTTTTTTAATATAGTGAAGTAAAGTAAATATACACAATACAATTATATTAATAAAACCTTTTCTAAACCAATTTTAAAAATAAAAATTGGTTGGCCTACTTCATTAAATTTTTTTAAGAGTAAAATTTCAATTTTTTAGGGCTGTGATAGTCACTGTATAATTGTGGGACTCAATGACCAGCAAACAATGTCTGTAGCATTGATGCTGTCATGCTAGAGGTCTGTGAAAACCAATATTGTGATTAATGATAAAGAAAGATGTCAGAAATTTTCATACCTCTAGGTTCTCATGTGCACTGGTCGCAACATACATTCAGAATGGGATGGTTAACACAGACTGCATGCATCTGACTGTGTCTTCATGTAGGACACTATTCAGTGTGCAATTCTGAATTTGTGTAAGAAAAGATAATCTTTTTTTAAAATTTTTTTTTTTGAAAATCCATGAAATATTGTTTTGCAAAATAAATTCAATAACATTACTAGAATAATAAAAATGTTTACGAAATATTTAAAATACATTTATTTGAATTTCATAAAGAAAAATTTGAAAATTGTGTAAAGATTGCCATGATACACCAAAATAACAATTTTTAGAGTTGGACTGAGTACAAAGACAAAACACATAATTGTGTAAGAATTTGGACCCTACTAATGAAATAGATAATTAGGGTATTAATTGTGCTATGATAGGAAAGATTGGTGGTATCCATAAGTGAATTTTCGCTTTTTGAATAAGATTGATTGCCATTGCTCATTTGAGAAAATTATCTGATGGTGATATTAAGAAATTATTGTAAGCGGTGTATATCAAAGAACTAGTGTAGTTGAAGAACATTACTTGTGAAATTGTTTACAAAATCAGCCATAAATTACGGTTTTTTTGAGAATCGGTTATTTTAACATTGATTTTCTTTTCCTTGTTATTCAAATAATATTGGATTTCAACGGCAACATTCATAGAACCCATTTAGTTACCTGAATAAAATGTTACAAGAAAGGGATTCTATTCCATTCAGTCTTGCGTTCAGCTTATTCGCTCGTTGCTTGCCAGTTGCCGAATCGAAAAATACGTCAATCGGCTTTCGATTGATTGTGTTATTTTGTGGGTTCTGTTGACGTAACGTGCATAAAGTGTCTGAATTAAATTTTTCGTTTTATAATATTCTAAATGTTAAATTTTGTTGCTCCAAATCGAGGCAAGCTCTTCCCCTCTTGTTCAATCACAGCTGTCCGCGAAAGCTTATCTCGCTAAGTGCTATGTTTTTTAATGAGCGAGTTATCATGTGTCAGCTGTACGGTAGCAGCAAAAAATGTGCAAGGGAGGAAATAATGTGATACCTCTAATTCCTTCTTTCTCTTACTGCTCATATGTTACTTCATCAGCTTGCTTGCCTCACATGCTTGCAAGCTGCCAGGTACTAACATTTTAAAATACTTATTTTTTTTTCATTTTGAAATCCTTTTTTGGTATTCGAGTTAACCTCCTTGTGTCCGTCTGGCACATACGGATAGACTCCTTCCCTACCACCAAACAAGGCAAAGTAGGTGTCATTCGCATACGCATCTCCTGGTGGAGAACATTTGTTTTTGGATCTATCCAAAAGATTCTAGGAAACGTTTTTGCGTTTCTTAAGCCACGCGATCTATCGGTGGCTGCAACAACCACGTGCCCCAGCGCCATGTCTCGGTCGACTCCACAAGCAGCCATGACGACAGCAAAATGTGATGTCAATGAGTCGGTCCACATATCCAGTCGGTAAAAAGCACAGGTCGCTATAAATTTTATCTACCGGACACCGCTGTTGCAGTATTCGGTGTTGGGGTTGGATCCCCTAGGATAATTTCAACTACAAAATTATATACTAGTATAAATTTATAAGAATTAAACTATGTTGTAGAATAGGAACTTCCAAATGTACAAATTTTCTTCGATAAGAAGCTGGCTAAAAGACACACTTAGGAGCACCGCTAGTTTAATATTGGCATATTTCTCATGAAATTGACGTAGTTGCATCTGTTTGATGTTCCGTTAGCACTTGAAAACTTTCACCTCCTTGTATCATACAATCTATATTTATTTTCCATTGTATTCTCTACATGTTTTTCAGCCATTGAAGTACTTCTTCATCCACCGTGTCTTTTTAAAACGGATAAATTTGCATCTAAATTGGCTGATAATAAGCTAATGTTCTGCTAAAAATGCCCTGTGTACATCGTAGCCTTTGGGAAACCAAAAGCAGAGATTTTCATTGGTGTTCTCTGATAGTCATGATTTGAACTCTTGGTATAATACATTTACCCTTTCTGTACCCTATAAATAGATTTCTGCGAACTACTTTTTCGGGTCTCAAATCCACATACTTTCTGACAAACTAAAATAAAATAGCTCATTAATAACAGAGAGCACCCTTCTCTGATTATTTTTCGTATGAGGAATACTAATAATTAATTTAGAACTAGGATCTTCTCCATCATCCTCAATTACGAAATATATATCAGGGATTTCCAACCTTATTCTTTCATACACTCCTTTTAAGAGAATTGTTTCGATGCTCACAGTTTGTACAGCGAGTATAGAGCATATCCTTAATCATGACACCAAACATTTCTCCTAAATGTTTTAAAGAGAACAATTTTTTACTGCAAGATTCTCGTAAATATTCCAACTTTCATTAATTGAAGAAGCTTCCTCTTGTGAGTAACAGAGTTTCTAATCTTCATTTTATTGCAACGGTCACAAACTGTCGAGTGGTTTTTAAGAATTTCTCATAACATTTCTTCGGTGCGTATTGCAGAGAATACTTTCTTGCGTGATAAAGTAATGTCACGATTACGTAGTTAGAGTATTCTGAGTTTTCTGAACATCCTATTTCCTAAGAATGGGAACATTAGTGTAGAAATGCATGAGTATTTTTACAATTAATTTGTGTTGACCTAATGTAATAATTGCATTTTAAAAATTCAGATATATTTTAAATATTTAAATAATAAGTTCAAAAATATATATATATATGCATCATATAAAAGTACATCTTTTTAAGTTAAATTTAAGTGCAATTTTATTTTTCTTCAAGGCTAGGTATTTGCTTATTTTTAAACATTAGCGCACGCATGATTCTTTAGTAAAAGTAATTGGTAATGTTTTTGAAAGGTGTGGGATTC